TCCTGCTTTACCTTGGTCTTAACCATCCAGCAGAAAAGTATAAAAACGAAGTATAAGAAGTAAAGCCATGCTGTTATGTTGAACTGTAGGGGACTCAGGTCAACAATTTCTGACATTGCCAGTGAAGCAGAAGCCCCAATACTATTATGGACTACTGGACTCTTTTAGACTATTTTGCTGAGTCAACACACCTATAATATTCAAATAACGGAACTAAACAAGAAAAGGGGATACAGATGAATATCCATTTTGTATCTGTGTATTCAAAGTGGTTAGGATCGATATATAGTTACATTCTCTTAATGAATAGAGGGATTTGTTCTAATGGTGTTTGTAAATAGGATATTATGTCCGCTTCTTGTACAGCAATTAACCACTACAAAGAATGTATGCAATGTGTTAATTATTGAAACTCTCCTACCAATTTGGTTTGAAACTGTCTCATTGCTATTAGCTTCTCAATAAAATTATAAAAAATAAATAAATATATGCAATTTGAGAAAAAAAAGAAATGGAAATGTGACACCGTGGATAATTAAGAACTCGGACTCTGGAGCCACTATAGCCATGTTTGAGGGCTGGTTCTCCTATTTCCTGGCTCTGTAAGCTTGGAAAAGTTGCTCAGAACTCTGCTTCAGCTTCTACGCTGTAAAACTGGAATACCCCAGGGCTTATTGTGAAGATTGAGTGGATAAAGGCCTGTAAAGTACATAGAAGAGAACCTGAGATATAGTCATTACTTCTATTCTAACTAACCTGCAATGTGGCACAAGGAACACAAACCATGCAGAGAGAATCATAACCTAAAGCAAATCATTATGGTCTCAGGGCACAATCATTTTCCCACAAAGGACTCAGATTTATCTTTTTCTAGGTTAGGCTAGTACTCCATTGTGTCTAAATACCATCAGACACACAAATTTAAATATCACATGGCTTCTCTTACACAAGAAATTCAAGGTATAAATAAAGAGCAAAATAAAAGAGAGCTGATAGGAAACAAGGAGACAGATCTTTCTCAAAAGGGAAGAAGGGAGATCAAGAGATGGAAGGGAGGAGAAGCAGAAGGAAAAGGGATGAGAAAAGGAATCAAGATATGTTATGTACACGCACCAAGTGCACGTAAGAAATGCAAATAGAACATTCTGCACACAGGCACTAGTCTTAAAAATCCAACCCCATCTACTTGATGATTTTTACTGAATATTTCCAAACCAAGGACTGTTCTAGGCTCAGGAGTGGAGTGGAGAAGAAGGCAGGTGAGATCCCTGCTCTCATTCATGTGGCTTAAGGAACCAAGTGATAGATACATAAAGCAACAAAAACCAAAACTCATGTCATACTATGAAGAAAGCAATGAGTTAAGAAGCAACAAATACTTCAAAATTCTGCTTTAAGAAATGCAAGTGATTATATACATTAAGAATGTGTGTGTGTGTGTCAGTTGACTCTAAAGGAACTGATTATTCCTACAATCCTCTAAATCCAAAATGAGTTTATATAATGACCATTCGTAAGTTTGTCTGCAACCAAGAGTCACTAAAATGTGTACTTCCACCAAGGTAGCCTAAGAGAGCCTGCGTGAAAAGCATGTGTGTTATGGTTTGTGTCTAGGCATCCCCCCAAAGCCTCATGCAGTCATGGGGTGGCTTCTGTAGTTTGTGACTGAATCTTGATCCAATGCTGGGATTATGGGTGTGAGTGCCCTGGGAGCATTACAATGTAAGGAGGGGAGAGAGGCCAGCTAGGTGCCCAAGCTGCTGACACTCCCTTTGCTCTCTGCTCTTTGCCACTGCCATGAATGGCTGCTCTGTGCCATGTGCTGCTCTGTGTTGGAGCCAGCTGTGTATGAACCAAAACCTCCACAAACTGTGAGCTAAATAAACCTTTCTGTTTTTATTTCTGGGTGTCTGATATTTGTCCCAGCAATGAGAGAAAAGTGATTGAGACAATGTGCCACAGAGCAGGAGCTTCAGAATTTACTTGTCTAACAGATGGATTTCAGAGTATAGGTCCCAAATTCAACTATTATTTATGTGACTTTTTTTCCTGTATTTTAGGGAAGGGTCTACAGGGTGTTCAGGGTCTCACTACTAGATCGGACTCCTAGTAATTCTCCTGTTTAAAGCCTCCCAAGTGCTGGGATTACAGGTGCATACCACCACACCCAATCTCAATTCTCATCTCAGTGTGCCCTGGGGACAGGGCCAGCATGGCAGGCCCAGGGATTGAACCCCTGGCCCCCGTGCCTAATCTGCTGAGCTATTGGGCCGGCCCTTATGTGACTTTTAAAAAGTTATTGACATGTCCTGTGCTTAGGGATCATATGTTAAATCACAGAATCTTTTAATAGCATCTATTAAACATCTATGTCAACTAAGTGTGATTAAAATCGACTTTATAAATAGGAATGCATGGGACTTGGAAAACTGTGCTCACAGGCATGAACTGACCTATCTTTTGCATGTCCTGTCTTTTCCACCATGGCCAGTACTAGGACATGAGCAGTTGCTTCCAATTTAATTTAGTGCTTAATACTCCAGAGAAGCAGCTCTTATGAATTGTTAAATGACTCATATGAAGTTATATGCTCCGTCAACAGCAGCAGCAACAATCTGTGCAGAGCATACCTCGCTCTGAAGCTGGGAGACTCCCCTTGCAAAGACACTGTCGATGGTGGCTGGCATCCGCTTGTAGAGAGAGTTGGAAAGCTCCATCTTCATCCTGCCTTTGTATTTCGCCTAAGAGGGTAAAAAAGAAATCCCTTTTTAACTTCTTAATATAAGAAGAGAATAAAAGGACACTTCCTCTAAGCACAGAATTGTTTTTAAAATCAGCAGAGCATTTTACTTTTAGCGTCTAGATCTGATGATCATTTTCTGGAAAGACAGCAATAAATCTCTTCTATTGTGCAGAAACTTTTACATGAGATATGCAAGAACACAATGACTTTTTCTATTTAAACCCATGCACATTTCTAAATATAAATCTGCTTGTATGCACTGACAGTTTGGTACTTTTTATCAGTGAAGGGATCACTGAAACCTAAACCATCACTGAGTAGGACTTGCCCACTATGGTCACTGAAATTCACACCACCCTGGTCTATATTTTAGGAGAAACTAGGAGAGGAACCTGGATCCAAACAGAGCAAAATGCTATGAATATGGAATACTAATGACTTTAAGTTGATCAGTACCTACAATACATGTGTGGAAACATCACACTGTATCCCAAGAATATATACAATTAGTACACACTAATCAAATTATCTTTTACATTTAAGGGGATGGAAATGATTTAATTGTCATACACATACATACACACACACTACATATATAAATTACATATATATACATATATTGTATTATCACACTATAGGTTGTAAATGTGTGTGTGTATAAAATAATAATTTTTTAAAAGAAATGTGTTTCTTTCTTGAAGTCTCCTCCCCTCCTGCAGCCACAGTCGGGGGTGGGAGGTGTTTGTTTGCTCTGTGAGCCTCCCCACCCTTAGCCTACATGGGCTCTGGGTGAGCTCCATCATTTCTCCAAAAGACAAACACTCATTCATTGTTTCCTTTGGGGAAATTAGGTTCAAGGGAATGTAATAGATCACACACTTCCAATTTTTTGCTCTGCAGTGAACTCCTCAGGAAAATTAATCAATCACAGAGAGTGAGAACACCAGAATCTCCCCCCACAGAAGTAACACAGCTAATACAAATAAACAGAACGGTGTTATTGGAAGAGTCCTCGATGGCCCTCTTCAGAGCCTGAGTTGAGGATTCACATATTGAGCACATGTGCTGTGTGAGCCTTTCGCCCCCACAAATCTAGATGCTGGTCAAAATAAAAGAAAATGTAGGGATTTTCTTGAAATTATCTCATGCTAGCAGAAATGATCCTGAGAACATCACACTGATCTTTTTCCAACATATCTTATGAAACACTAGAGAGCAGTCATTTACAACGCTGTTTGATTAGCTGGCTTTTTCAAGTTTATTCACAGGTTACCATAATGTCTCAACATAGAAATTATTAATATTATGCTTTACAGTGCAGCCTACACTGTAGTTCTAAATGATCTCAGAAAGAGACTACATGATTTTTCAGGTGGAAAATGAATACAGTGTCTGGCTCCCTTTGTGGTATCCTAATAGGTGTCTCTGTTGAGCTGAATTTTATCCCACTGAAAATAGTTAATATAAACTCAAAATTATCAATCAAAAATACTCAACTTTATGGAATCAGCTTTCACAATTTATTTATTTTTAAAATGGAGTTTCAATTATCTCTAATATATCCATTAGGGAAGCAGTATATCAAAATATTTAAAACTATTTTGCCAATGCTTTCTATTTGTTGAATAAAATTATCCTTTTTCAAAATTCATTCTGGAAAAAAAAAAAAACCCAGGCCAGCCAAATAGTTCAGTGGATTAAAGTTCCTACAAGCAGACGATGGGGCCAGGAATTCAATCCCAGGGCCTGTTGTGCCAGCCCCACCCTCAGGGCGCACTGAGACAGTGATTGAGACTGAGCATGGTGGTGGGCACCTGTAATCCCAGCACTTGGGAGGCTGTAAACAGGTGCACCACTATGAGTCCGAGCTACACAGTGAGGCAACGAGACCCTGCAGACCCTGTAAACCCTGTTCTAAATCCAAAAAAAAAAAAAATCATTCTGGAAAGGGTTGGAGACAGAGTATAGAGTAGTTAATAAAATCTACTCAAATATAATAGTCAATTTACATAAGTTAATTAACATAGCACACAGAATTAGGTACATTAAATATTATCAACATTCAGTGGTGCTTTCAAAAATATTCACCAACCTTATTACATAGAATTTTATCTACAAAAATATAAAAATAAAAACAAGCCATTTTTAAAGTTTCCAAGATCTTACCTCAGAAATAAAAGCACCAATATTTTTTACATGGTTGAGCATAGGAGTGTCAGTCACAAATGTACACTTGTTCTTAGACTTTTTATACTCTTCTTTATAATGGACCTAAAATAATAGAATAATTTACATAAGAAGACAAAGAAGAAAAATACTTGTAATGGATCTTTTTGAACAGAGAATTAAGTTGGTAAAATCCACTTTCTTAGGAGAATATTCAAGTGTGGAATAATGCTCAAAACAAACTAAGTCAACTGCACCCAGCTGCCCCTTTCTCCACTCAGCTATCCCCTTCTCCACCCAGCTATCACTCTTCTCCACCCAGCTACCCCCTTCTCCACTCAGCTACCCCCTTCTACACCCAGCTACCCCCTTCTACACCCAGCTACCCCCTTCTCCACCCAGCTACCCCCTTCTCCACTCAGCTACCCCCTTCTCCACCCAGCTACCCCCTTCTCCACCCAGCTACCCCCTTCTCCACCCAGCTACCCCCTTCTCCACCCAGCTATCCCCCCATCCTCCCAACAGTTAAAGACATCCTACTGCAGTCATCCATGCACGCCCATGTTCACGGCAGTACAATTCATAATACATAAATCTTAAAAGTGACCTATACACCCGTCATCTGACGAATCGATAAAGGAAATGTAATATCAATACACAGTGGAGCACTGCTCTGCTACAAGTCATTCATGGGAAAATGGAAGCACCTTAAGAACACAATGTTAAATGAAGTAAATCAGCCACATAAGCTTAAATACCATATGGTTTCCTTCCTGGGAGAAATCCAAAGCCTAAATAAAAATCAAAATGAAAGGAAACAAGGAGATAGCTCTACTGCAAATGTGAAGGGAACCAAGTAATGGAGACAGGGCAGAAGGGCCACAGGGGAAGGGGACATTAAAAGGGAATTAAGATGTGTCATGTACATGTGCCAATTATCCACAGTGAAAGGAGTCATTGTGTATCACAAACATGTACTAGTAAATAAATTTTAGAAATGGAAATCCAGCATAGAATTGCAAAATCAATGAGGCATAGTGAGGAAAAACTGTATTTTAATAAGCAGAAGTTCTGTTATTGTTAGAAATGTAGACTCACAGGCGGCCTACTTCCTCCAAGAAATCACCCAACAAGCTCTGTTTCCCCCGTGAAGGCCCAATTTCACCACTATTTTTAAGCCAATGGCTTTAACAGTTACATCCAAGGTCAAACAGAAACAGCTGCTTACTTCAAGGTAGAAGCTAAGCAATCATTAAAACAGATGTGATACCGTAAGAGGTAGAGGCCAAAATTGAACACATGAAGATTACTAGTTGCAGTCTTAGCCTACATGTGCTAGATTAGAAGGAAAGGCTCATACTGTGTCCACCACAGGCTTTGTTGCTAATTAACTGCCCCCAAATCAAACTTGCCCAACTTCTGAGCACCTCTCACCTCCCTATTCTCCACTCCTCCTAACAACAAAGCAGCGTCAACCCAGGGAGCTTGCCAGGTGGACATTGGTCCGGCATGTCCCCTGTAGATCAGCCAAAGGAAGCCAGAGGGGTTTAATTGAGCATGCTCATTTCTTCCCTCCAATTCAGAAGTAAAATACAACACTCTCTTCTCCAGTGGAGGAGATCTGCGATGAACACAGTCACCAAAAGAAGCCAGGAAGGATGGAAAAGGCTGCAACATGTCATCCTGTTGTCACACTAATTGCTGTACAATGTGAGAGCTGGGGAGGCAAGTCTTAGGACAAGTCAAGAGGATGGAGATAACTTTCTAAAATTTACATCACCCTATAACAGGCTCAGGTTCATTTACCCAAGGCTATAAATACTTAGGCAGCAAGAAGTACCCCAGCTCTGATGATAAATTACACAGTGTCCCTAATTATGACCCAAAAATGACAGTTAATTGTATACAACACCTGGTTCTCAGAGGACACCATTAATATTGATGTTATGCACTAGCAGGCAATGGAGATTTTACCTGACTGGGGCAGTATGACTTGACCTGAGGTACAACCAGACATAAACATATTAAATGAAGTTACTTCAAAATTCCCTATTTCACTGCTGCGACTCTTAGCTATTAATGCCTCCCACATTAAACTCTTGCTTTATTCATGAAATCAACATGAGAACATATTTATCTTATCTGAGCACTAAATTACTTTTTTTTTCCTTCTCAGAGATTAGCCTTAATTTTAGGTTCCTGCAAATCGCCCTCCTCAGTCACTAGTAATTAAATCCTTAATGGCAGTGTGATAAATAGCAGGCTATTTTGATCATAAGGAGAGAAAAAGTTTCTCCATTATGTAATTAAGTGTGAGAAAAAATAGCCTATCATTAGGCTTAAGTTTGACTCATTATTTTTATCTGGTGCCACCATCTTTTCCCCATCATATCCACATTCTTCGGCCCAGTGGTGTGCGCTAGTGGCCAGAGGCTCCTGATAAAAGTTGACAGGGTGGAATGTGCCAGGCAAGAAGCAGATAGGGGCAAAGCATTTACTTCCTTTGCTACAGACACAAATAGTTCCATTCTAATTGCAGACTTCATGACTTCTCTTTTCATTTTAAAAAGTACATACATTTGTATCTTTACATTTCAGTTGACTTAAAATCCTAAGATCATGTGTTTATTGCCATTCAATTTACAAAATTCATTAGAAGGCACAGTGATGGGCGGACTTCTACCGAATTTGCATGCATGGTTCCTAATGAATTTTGCAACAAGAATAATGAGTAAATTATCTTAATTTTTATAGAAATAAAGGGTATTATATATTAGTAGGATTTCTATGCCAGAATCATAGGAATTGGTCAATAAAGGAATCATGTTGGTCAACTACATAAAGCTCAGGTCAAATAAAAATCACCAGATAGCTATCTCCTGTTATGACAGTGTCTACATCTTCCATTTAATTTAAGGCTGACAGCATCGCCACATACATTCCTTCATTCCCACTAATAAGGCCTGACAGGATTCCTGAAAGTGGCCAGGCCCCTACCCCAGCCCAAAGTACAAACTAGTCTAAATTGAGCATGGTCATCCCATTCTCTTCGACCTGTGATTGGCTTGGGGAAAGGGAGGTGCCGAGTTCTGGCTGAGAGGCAAGAGAAGAAGTCTTCCCAGAGTGTTGCAAGTGCTTCTGGATAAAGAGGGAGACTTTTGGCTGCCTTTGACATTTCAGCCTTCTAACTTTTTCCTTCCCAGGCCACTTGGGTGACAACAGTGGCAATAAGCCATCCCACCCCTGCGTCAGTGAGAGCATAGCACAGGAGCCCAGCAGGCAAATGTTGGCATTCACATACTGAGAATCAACCCCCTACCTCCAGGCGTTAGATGTGGGGAGAGAAATATCCCACATAATAGAGTTTTCCTGCTACCTGCAGCCATCCACACTCATCAACAACACATAACCCATTATGTTTTCAAATTAAGAAGGAAAAGGGGCAAAGTTGATGACTGACTGATCGATCAGATGCCCCAAACGCTTACTTTCTCCTTTACGCACTCATCCCATGATGTCTCGACTACAATTAAATTAAATGAGGTCAGTGTTGCTTCCTGTTCTGACCACATTTCTTTCAGTGGGTAGGAGATTAGCTAATGGCTGACACTGGACGACAGATGTGGAAACGTTCAAGGCTATTTCCTCCTCAAGCATTTGTAGCTGAAAACATCTAGAAAGTCTTTTCATAAGTGAAACCATCCCAGTTCAGTTCAGAAATTTCCAGAAGAAAGCACTCCAGCTCCATCATGGTGGGTTTACTGGGCAGGTCATGGCCAAGGGTGCTCTCCCAGATGTCCTAACACAGTTTGGAGGAGCAGCCGGGGAACTGCTGGTGCACACTGCAGGGATAATCCACAGTAATGCCCATTCACCTGGATAACACTCCACCACCATGCAACTGAACACCCTTAAGAGCTTTGAATGAAACATGGAATCAGAGGCTCAGGTTGATGCAAACTTCCTCCCCCAAAGGATATTTATGCTTCATTTATAGGACAAACATTCCTACTAAAAGAGTGCTTTTACTCTCCATTTCTTTATGACCACCTGTCAGAAAACTACTAGCTCCATGACTCAAGATGCTCAATACAGTAGATAGGTTTAATGAATCTAAGGAGTTGACTCTGTTTGACAAATGGCTAAAAATTGGAGAGTTTAGTTGCAAAAGTAAAAAGGGTTAGATAACTAGCAGAAAAAAAGTAGCATAGGCTGCCTCGGAAGACTAAGTGTCCTTCAGGATTTGGAAGGGAGTCACGCAGAGGAAAACTCCACAGTGCAGTGCAGCAAGTGAAGCTAGATGGGAGAAGTCAGGAAAGCAGAGGAGGGTAAAGAAGTAGGAGAGGAGAGGAGAAGGAATGGGGCCAAGAAAGGAAAGAAAAATTCCCTCATATTGACCCCAAAGTGAAGCCACTTGATCCAAAGAGCTGTCATTTCTCTTTGAGGATAATTCTGAACAGCATGGTCTTCCAGGACTGATCTCCAGGGCAATGTCACCTAACATTCATAGGTACTGACTGCTGCAAGGTGACACCACAAGGTCCCCAGGCCTACTTATTCCCCCAGCTCTCTTGGAGAGTGAAATGACGAGCTGAAAGAGATGAACCTTGAAAGTCACTGAAGACCAGGCAAGAGAGCAAACTACCACAGATTAGATCTGTACCTCATGAGGTCAGAATAATTCAAATCATTATTGAAAACCAATGTGACCAAGCCATCAGCTACAAGTCAGATATAAGGGCAGAAAATGACTCTGAAGTCTGACAGACATTGGTTCACCAGCTTTCTTCAACCCCTAAGTCCAAAACATTCCCACAGTATCACAATCCACGTTTGCATATTCTAAGGCCCTCTACAGCTGTTTTTATAACCTGAGGAAGACTTCCAAAGCCAGAAGAGTCCAAAGAGGAATAACTGGAGTGATGAAGGGTATGAAGAAAGTCCACTCTGTGAAGAGAAAGTCATCAGACCATGTCTCTCATCTAATAACTGAGACAGAGTAGAGTGTCAGGCTCTGGACTCAGACACACCCACATTGCTTGAACCTTGTCTCCATACATACCTAGCCCCATAGCTTGCAAGAAACTGCTAAGCCTTGGCTTTCACACCTGTGAATTGGATTCTCAGAGCCTGTGGCACAGGATTGCAGAGGCACTCAAGCAAAAAATGTATGCACAGTGTGCGGCACACAATGGGGCAGCAAGGCCAGCACAGAGGCCAAAGCTGGAGGCCAGACCCACCGTACTTCAAATCCCAGGGAGCTCATCACCAAGTGACTTGATCTAAATGCGCCCAGAGAATACTTTAAGATTTGTGTTTACATCTGAGACCAGCGGAAAACCTGAACGAAACAAGGGGTACCAAGTGAAGGCTGCAATTAGCAAGAGGCTATAGGCTGGACTGGAACCAAGGGATAATTCGATGCAGCAATACATAAATTTTGTATCTGTTTCACTCCATGATGGATGTGTTTTAGCCAAGCAACTACCCATGCAATGATCTATGTGACAGCTAAGAAATTCAAATTTAGAATGCATTAATTGGGGAAAATTGCAAATTTAAGTTACTCTCTTCCATATAAAAATACTGATGACACTGAGAAAGAAGAAACAAATTCTTAAGAATACTACTTTAAAAAAGAATACTATTTAATAAAACTCCCAAGAAGCTCAAAATTTAATTTCATGCCCACTACACCAAATTCTTCTGCCAAGAATCAATTATATTTGTTTTACATGATTGTACACACTCCTCTTTTCATTTTTTAAGAAACCAAACATGTAATTTTTTAGACTCTTCCTAATGAATATAAAAATGCAATGAATGTCTTAATAAGTATAGAATTCTATTTGGAAACAAAATGTGGACATGCACACAGCTATAAATTAATCCACAATAGTCATGTTAATTATTTAAGTAATACAGGCTTTCTGACATGCAATATAAATCTACAGCAAGCAGAAATTCCTCCCACGTGTTCGCAAGGTTTCATCTAAAGGGGAGGGAAACAACATGACTTTCACTTTACAAAATGATAAAAGCCATCACTTCTGACTACAGGTTGTCTTTAAAGTCACCATTAAGTGATTTTACTCAGAGCAACTTCAACAAATCACCTATGAACTAAAAGTTACCAAGTTAGCTTTAAGAGATAACACAAAAGGGCTGGGGAGATAGCTCAGTGTACTAAGCACCTGCTTAGGCAAGGGCAGGGACCAGGGTTTGATCTCCGGCACCACATGCCATGCAAGGCCCTGCCCCCAGGTGCCCTGAGCCAGCCACTGAGACCAGGCATAGTGGCACTTGCCTATAACCCCAGAGTTGGGGAGGCTGAAAGCAGAGGATCAGTATGAGTCCAAGCTGCATAGTGAGACCCTGTACCAAATACATGAAAAAAAGAGAGAAGAAAGAGAGAGATAACAATTTAGCTCCACAATAATTATGCTTCGAAAAAACAGTTCAAAGATAGAAGAAGTACTATTTCCAGAGTTGGGAAATCGGGAGTTTTATCTTTTCCTTCTTTCACTAACATTAGTATGATAAGTAATTATAAAGCTAAGGTAAATTTCTCATGTCACCCTATAAGAGATAACACAGCAGTGTAAAGGGAGAGAGTTTTGAGTTCAAGTCCTACTCCCACTGCTTCACTTTGTAACTCAGAGAAGTTACTTAGCCTCTCTGTCGCTTTATTTCTCAAATAGGAAAAATGGGAGAATCAGCCTCCCAAGCTGCATTGTGTGACACATGGTGCTTCAATGCACCTTAACTGTCAAAAATGTTGTTACTGTCATTTCATCATGATTGAGTTTATAAAGAACTTTGATGAACTAAAGTGCCTGCTTAAGCAGAACACAGTGGCCAGGGTTCTAACCCTGGCCTGCTGTGCCAGCCCTGCCCCTGAGGTGCACAGAGACGGCGACTGAGACTAGGCTTGGTGGTGCATGCCTGTAATCCCAGCACTTGGGAGGCTGAAAACAGGAGAATCACTAGGAGTCTGATCTATATAGTGAGCCCCTGTAGACCCTATAGACCCTGTCCTAAATGCAGAAAAAAAAAGAACTTTGATATACCTAGTAGCTTATTACTATTATGAAGTAGTAGCACAAATAATAGTACTATTATGAAGTAATATCATAAAGACATATTTCATTTAAATTTAATTATATCACATGTCAGTCATATGGGAAGAGGTATGACTCTCACCTCCACCCTTTGGTTCTCTCTAACAAACCAGAAGGTCCTCCAGAGTCATAAACCATGACCCGAATCACACAAAAGTGACAGATGGAGTAATGAATACCAGGTAATATTCACTGAGTGCGCACCACCATGTGCTAGACAGTACCCAGAATTTTGGAAAATTAAGCATTACTTTATATTACTGTTGTAATACTGTACAACAAGAAACTGAAGCTAGCCAGTTAATAATAATCTTCTTCAGGTTACCATCAATGACTAGGCTGACACCAGAACACCAGCCAGAAAACCACCCCACTGCCCAGGATGAATTTCCTTAGAAAAACAAGCACTTTTCAAATCTTCCCATCACTCTGCTTATGAACAATAACCCAAAAGACCTGGGATTGTGCTCATCTTCTACATGAAGACATGGGCATGTGTTCACTTTGCAGGACTCAGTTTCCATTATTCTACCAGTTCTCCTTCAACAGGCAGTGAGGATGAGCTGAATTCTCGTCTTTGGTGAGTAAAACCTTCCCATGGCTTCCAGAACCATAACTACACATATTTACTAGATGTGTGCACTTGTGCATGAGCATATTAAATAATTCTAGGATCCCCTTGAAATATAATATAAACTAATCATACTTTGGGGGGGAGGTATGACAAAAACACACCTTTTCACTAACATCATTAAATCATGATTCTTAACATGCAGGTTAGTGATTCATAAATCCTAAATTCTAAAACATATTATATGCATATGGATATAGGCATTCATCAGGTTTTCCAAAAGGCCCTCAACATCCATTTAAACAGATCTTCCCAAGAAAAATTCTATTATTACACTAATTTTAAAGTCTTTAAGGTTCTCAAACTATTCTCTGCAATTCAATGCCCTATGAGTTTATAGTGAGAGACAAGCTTCTGGATTAAGAAGATTTCCACCAAAAATTTTCTATAGGGTAACCTTGGGGAAATCATTAAAAATTTCGGGACTTCATTTCATGATCTGGAAAATAATGACGTTTCGGTAGATAATTTCAAGCTTTTCTCCCTAGCTCTATAGCTCTACGACATCACCATTCCACACACACAACGCAAAAGAAGAGAAAGTTGTCAGAGCCACTTACGTCACTGATGAGCTCAGTGCATTTTCGGGCCAGTTCCATACTTAGGTCTTCAATAACAGGCTTCAGGAACCCCTGTTTGAGAAAAGAAGGAAAGGGACAGCTTTGACCTTGGCCGTCTCAGGAACAAACCCCATGCTTGGGGAGGTGCTTTCTTGCTTACCTTGTCTTCTTCATCTTCTTCCTCTGCTTTTTCCTCTTCAGGTTCATCCTTTACATCCTCAAATACAGGGACCCTCATATTTTTGCCCTGTCAAAATATTTATATTTTTAAAACTTCACCAGTGGGTGTCCTTTTAGGGACTGCAGCCCCTTGCGCTCCTGGCCCATCTGGCGCCTGCGCAGGAGGGACCTTGCTGGGCTTCCGTCTGACTGGCCCACACTCCCCTCTCCTTATCTCAACAACGTGTGAGTGAATGGTCTAAGATCCCCAGGACAGGTCAGGGTGCCTCTCACAAGTGAGAATGACGTTTTTCTCTCAGGAAAAATTCAATTTCACAAGCTCTTTAAAGTCAACATCATTTAAACTGATTAAGAAATCCATATTAACCATTGTTACCCTCTTATTACCTTGTTTTGAAATTTTGTTGCATTTCTTCCCCTTTAAAATTAGAAAAAGGAAAGAAAAAAGAAATGCAAAAGGACATTTGCTTATCTTTCACTAATTTAGTTCTCCATAAAATGGTTTTAAAAGTACTTAAAAGATTCTAGGAAAACTACTCACACTCAGGTTATCAGAGCCCAAAGCCTGTTATTTCAAAGATTCCTTAACTCTGTCTAAAAAAAGCCTTCACTAGAATGCCAGGCATAGCTCTGATCTGTACAGCGCACCAGATCGTTTAAACGCATTTCATTAACATAAATTAAATATTTTATGAGACATACACGTACTTCTCACATCCTAAAACACACACACACACACACACACACACACACACACACACACACACTTTAATATTAGCTGATTAGAGGCTAGTAATTTATTATGAAAAGCCCTTTGAGCCACTTCAAAGAACCTTTTCTGGGTTAATTATGACTGTTAATCTTTTATTAGGGACTATTGTATTATATTAATTGTAAACATCATCAAACATGAGAAGTTGCAGTTAATGTGCTAATATATCATTTAAGAATTCCAGAAACATTACTAGTTAAAAACATAATACTCAGGCTCTTTGGAGTCTCTTCATTGTGTCAGGTTTTACAAATTTACTAATTATTTGTATTTATTCAATGCATACCGTCCACATGGAACAGTTGGAAAAACAAATTTTCATATTTATGCAGTATGTGTCACTAGTTATATAATTAAAATATATTTCTCACAACAAACTTACTTATTGTCTCAAGGTAATTCTAAGACTATATAATTCAGAATTTATTAATTTGGTTATTTAAATCCTAGGGTAAATTTGTTTCTACAAAACCAATGTATGTCAGTGCTAGACATAAACAATATCCTATGGTGAATAATGAAATTAATTACATTATATATATCTTTGTGCAAAATAATAAATCATTGCAATCTATATCTGGTTTTCGATTTATTAAAGAAAAAATGTCTTGGCCTTATCAAAGCTGAAAATTCTGACAAGAAAAAAAATCCACATAATCATCATAAATTGATTATTCTCCAAGTTATGTTGCAAGAGACAAAATTCCCCAAAATATTTAGCAAAAAAACAAGCTTTGTAAACAAATCTGTTTGGGAAATCAGTACAGTAATCTCTATCCCTGCCGCTTAGCAGTGCACGCTCCATATTGAGACACTCAAAGTTATAAAAACACCCTCAACCAAAAAAACATACTTCCCAAACATGAAAATTAATATCCTCCTGGGAACTACTACTGGTGGAATCATTGTGATACTCTGACAAATTACTGTGTTCTAAAGTAGTTGTTATTTTGGCCCTGGCCTTTCAAGGTCAGTGAAGACTCAGGACATAGGAGAACCTGTACTGTAACATCATGTAACTCAGTTGTGGCCCAAATTTTTTCATCAAGGAGATTAAGGGGCCACAGAGGACAGTGATCAATGATGTGGAGTGTGCCTAAGGAGAGTCACATGGAGAAAAAGCATTCTCTCAGGCTTTCACAAAAAACAAATTGGTCAAGCAATGGCCGTGACTCATCCACATAGTTGACACTGACAAAGGATCTGCAAATTGCAGTATAGAGTTTCAGGGTAAATCCTGAGGGGACTTGACTGACCTTATCAGATACAAAAGTTATATTTCTTGTTATATGTCTTCCTTTATCTTGGTCTTAACCATCCAGCAGAAAAGTATAAAAACGAGGTATAAAAAGTAAAGCCATATTAATAGGCTGAGCTATAAAAGACTCAAGTCAAGAACTTCTGACATTGCCAGTCCTATGGATAGCCCACTACTGTTATGAACTACTGAACTATACTGGATTATTTTGCTGAATTCATGCACCTACAATATTTAAATGGCAATGGAATACCCATCTCTAAAAAAACTAAACAAAAAAAGGGGATACAAAAGAAGGACCATTTTGTATTTGTATA